AACAAAGTTGAAGAGGTGAGGTTTAGAGGGGAGGGAAGAAAAGGAAACTAGGATAGAAAAAAGAAGTAAGTTTGGAAAACACAACCCAAGACTTGTCAAGAGGTATGATTTAAAAGTGGTGGCAGACTTCAGTTATCCAGACATCTGCTGGAATGTGCCCATGCTTTGTCTTACTCTCACTCTCTCGACGAAAGGCAGAGCATCTAATTTCGTTTTTCAAAATTGAGAAGAGCAAACAAAGGGGGAAGGATTCTGTTTTGGATCTGCTTCTCCACAACAGGGAGGAGCTTGTTGCTGGGGATAGTTAACCATGCCTACCTAGATTATAACAGAGGAGAGGAAGGCCACACATATCCTTAAGTACGCCCTCAAATTGAGGAGAGATTTTGGAGAATCATTTTATGGACAGAGGCAAGTGCAGGCCACATGGCAACTCTCAAGAAGGAAAAGTCTGAAGGTTCAAAGGGAAACAGTTACAATGAGTTAGAAACAGACAGATGTATAAAGAAACCAGTGTGAATACATAATGATCTCACCAACCAATTTAGTTTTTTTTGGTTTGTTTGTTTTTAAAGATCCGTGCTGGAGAAGGAGACAAGGGCAGGAAACGCTATGAATAAAAAGGGTGGCATAGTCCTGCCAGAATAGTGTCAGGAGTGCTGAAGCTCAGCATGAGCTCAGGCGGTGAGGAGAGAGCACAATTAAAAAGGAGTCCTTGTTTTAGCTATGTTGGGAGAAAGGATTAAAGGAGAAAGAGCACTGCTTTTCAGGGTGTGTTGGATGGTGATGACTAACAACAAAGAGAAGGGAGAACTGCTTTGTGCCTATTTTTTCCTATTTTCTCTGCCAAGAAAAATGACCAAATTTTCCTTGAAAAAGCAAAAACTGCTTGTAGAGATGTGATGCCCAAGATAAATGAGGTGATAGTAAAAGAACACTAGGAGGCAGCTAGGTGGCTCAGTGGATAGAGTGCTGGGCCTGCAGTCAGGAAGATTCATCTCCAACCTCAGACAGTTACTAGCTGTGTGACCCTGGGCAAGTCACTTACCCTCTGCCTTAATACGCTGGAGAGGGAAATGGTAAACCACAATTACTTTGCCACAAAAAAAACCACCCATGTACAGTATAGTCCATGAGGTCACAGAGTCAGACATGACTGAACAACTGAACCACAACAACAAAAAGAACACTTTAACTTCCTATAATGAATTCATGTCATAAGACCCGGTATGAACTATATCCTTGGGTACTGGAGGAGCTGACAGTTGTGATTGCTGAGCCATAGTCATTGTTATTTGAAAAACTATAAAGAATAGTGGTAGCATTGGAAGGCTGGAGAAGGCAAATTTTGCCCAATCTTCAAAAAAGGGAAGAGGACTGAATCTCTTCCAGTGAGCTTGATTTCAATTTGTTGGAAAATTTTAGAACGTATTTAGAACGTTTGTTAGCAAACATCTAGAAAAGAAATGGTGGTCACAAAGAACCACTATGGCTTCATAAAGAACTGATGACATCAAACTAACTTTTTGGCCAGGGTCACTAAACTAGTAGATCATGGTAATGTGACATAGTTTACCTAAGGGCAGCTAGGTGACACAGTGAATAGATCTGTAGCCCTGGAGTGAGGAAGACCTGAGTTCAAGACCTAGCCTCAGACACTTACCAGCTCTGTGACCCTGGGCAAGTCACTTAACTCTGTTTACCTCAGTTTCCTCATCTGTAAATGAGCTGGAGAAGGAAATGGCAAACCACTACAGTATCTTTACCAAAAAACCCCAAGTGGGGTCACGAAGAGTTGGATATGACTGAAACAACTGAATGACAACAACAGCTTACCTGTGTTTTAGCACTGCTATTCTTGTGGACAAGATAGAAAGATGAGGGCTAGATGGTGGTCCATTGAGATGAGTTTGGAGCTGGTTGAATGGTCAGACTCAAAGACCAGTAATTAGTGGTTAGATGTCAGCTTGGAAGGAGATGTGTGTCTATATTTGGCTCTGTATGGTTTAAAATTTCCATGATTTGGTTAAAAACAGCATTCTTATCAAATTTCCTGATGATGCAAAGCTGGAAGAGAGAGATAGCTAACACGGCATATGATCAAGTCAGGATCCAGAAAAGGCCTTGACAAGCTAGAACACTGGGTTGGATATAAGATGAAATTTAATAAGGATAAATATAAAGTCTTAACATGGGACTCAGTTTCTTTATCACAAGATACAGGAGGCATAGTTAGGCAGCAATATCTGAAAAGGTTCTGGAGGCTCAGTATAAGTCAACAGTGTGCCATGGCTGCTAAAAAAAAGCTCATGCAATCTTGGACTGCATTAAAAGAAGAATAGCTTCCAGGAGTACAGACGTGATCAGCGCTCTATGTGCTACTCTGGTTTGACCACATCTGAGCTATTGTGTTCACTTCTGATGACTACAGTTAAAGAGAAGGTGTTGATAAGTCAGAGAACATCCTTCAGAAGGTAGTCAGAATAATTAGGGCTCTCAAGTCCGCCCGAGATGAGGAGCAGTTGAAAGAACTGGAAATATCCATCCTGGAGAAGGAAGGCGTCAGAAGTGAGGGAGTAGGATGATAGCCATCTCAAGCACTTGAAAGTCTGTCATGTGGAAAGGGGTTAAACTTACTCAGTCTCCATTTAGCAGTAACTGGGAACAATTGAGTGCAAGTTTCAAGGAGGCAAATTTCAGCTTGATGTAAGTAAATTCTTCTGTAATGATTACAATGATGTAAAAATGAATGGGGCTGCCTCGGGAAGTAGTGGCTTCCTTCTCATTGAAAGTCTTCAAGCGAATTTTAAGCGACCTCCCATCAGGCATGCTTTAGTGGGGATTCTTTTTCAAGTGTGGGTTCGACTAGACGGCTACTGAGATCTTTTTCAACCCTGAAATTCTGTGAATGACGGAGAGAACAGGAGGAGATAGCACAAAGTAACATTGGATTTTGGTTATAATATATTCACCAAGTTATTGTAAAACGATGTTGGTTGAGGCGTCATTATATAGACTTTGCCTGTACAGAGAGATAAGGCTGGAAAACAGATTAGAGTCAACAATATAAAGAGAATTGAATTCCTCTGTTCAGGCTTTTGTAGTTCAGAATTCTCTTGTAGGTTTTAGGTTGATTCGTTTTTGTTTTTTAATTTTTTATTTTTAGCAAGTGATGATAATTAAAAACTGTTTTAGGCAGATTAATCTGCCTAAATTAATCTGCCAGGTAGACATAAAAAAAAATAACTTCCAGATAGCTATCACTGAAACAGGCTTCTGAACCAATTATCAGGAAGAACAGAATGACTTTGATGTAAGTAAATTCTTCTGTAATGATTACAATGATGTAAAAATGAATTGGACTGCCTCAGGAAGTAGAATTCCTTGATAAGTTCTATTGCAGATTTGCTTGAACTCTTGATATGTAGGTGGTCTGTAGTAAGCCAAAGTAGATAGCAGAAAAGAAATGAGTTGAGAGTATTTTTTCCTAAAGAGGGAGAAGCCAGTTAAGAAGATTTAGATTCCCAATGGGATTCTGAGTCCATTTAACATCTGTTACAATTCCTGAGTTATATCACAGTACAATGGAAATTCACATAGAGCTATTTAGATTTTCTTTCTTTACATCAAAACTCTGCTTCCTGGGTCCCCTCTGCATGTTTCTACAGCATTTCTACCCACATTGCAATGAAGTTCCTCACCCTTTTCACTCTTTTTTTTTTCAGCCAAAAACAAGGTTTATTGAAGATTACCATATTAGCCAGACTCTTAAGGATTCTGAGCATCTGTGGGCTATTGGCTAGATTGTGAAAATCTGAGCAGTGGCTGGGTTATAAAAATCTGAGCACTCCTTTCACTCTTACAGCATCTCTCTTGGCAGACATTTCTGTTCCATAATTTTACCATCTATCTCCCTTTATTGAAAATTAACATCAAAATTCTTTCTGGGGAGCTGGACCACAGACCAAAAGTCCCCTGTTGCACAAGAAGAGGAATAGGAAGCCTAAATTTTGAGGAAATTTTAAATTCTTTTTGTTTCTGGCACTGGCAATGCCTTTAGTATAATATTCTAATACTTCAGTGGACCGGTGATCTTATTTATGAGGGTAATCCCTTTGACATTGCAGATCTCAACCCATTAATGCCTCCCATTCTGTTCATCTTTTGCCCATTCTTCTCCATGTTTTACACATATACTCCAATGACCATTAATAATGAAGTTGGTAAATCTTTACATCTAGAAGTTGTATATATCTGGATTTATTGGGACCTACATCTTGGGTTGCAGCGGGTTATAAATGTGAAACAGGAAAAGGTACTGGAAAAAATACAAAAAGAATATGTGGGTGTCAAGAATCAGGCTAGGGATCAACAACAGTTGTGTCATTGTGGAGTACTCAAAAGCAATGAGGTCAAAAGCCATGGGTGAGAGCTAGATGGATGGTCAAGGAACAAATGAACTAAGTATCTAGGAGGTGAGCAGGTACCGATATTCAAGATTTAGGCAGAAATCCAGTGGTGAGAATGGGGCAAAATGGGAACAAATGGAGAAACAACAATATCATGTCAAAAATTATATTGAATTTGATAATTGGGAAAGCATTCTGCCTCAGTCATCTTTCCTGCTTACATGAGAGTTGATCCACGGATAAATTCAGTTTATTCATGAATAGGGGAAGGCAAACATATTATGGATCAAGAGAGGAGTGCAGGGGCATAAGCATAGGTAGTTCCTGATGTTTTGTGTTTTTTTTTTTAGGATCCCTTGAAGTCAGCTCTTAGTTACCAATAACTATTCAATGCCTAATTCTAAACTAGTTCCCTTATTTCTCCCATTATGTTCCTGGGATGCTCAGCACTCCCACATCTGTCTGAGGAGCCTTTGGAAATTCTTTCTCCCACTTTGAGGAGTTACTAGCCCCAGTTAGAGACTCTGGGACAAGATATGGGATATATTGGGGTAGAGGGCAGACGAGTCCATTCCTTCCTTGTTCACCCAGGTGCTGGCTGGGATGAATGTCTACTCCTCTGAATTTGAACACATCAAGGAAGAGTATGATGTCCGTGGCTACCCCACCATCTGCTATTTTGAGTAAGTCCCCAGCTCCCTAGTCTTAAGTGCCATTCCTCTTCCCCAGTGGCACTTATTCCCCTTATATCCCTCTTCAATACCCCTTGCCCCAATTCTTGAGCTGAGCCCCCTTTTGTGTCTCCACATTCCACAGGAAAGGGAAGTTTCTGTTCCAGTATGAAAACTATAGGTCCACAGCCAAGGACATTGTGGAATGGATGAAGAAGTAAGTCTTTGCACTTCAAGGAATATGTACATGTAGTTCTCAAAGGGAGGGCATCTATCTTGCCCTGCCCTGTAATGTTCTTTTGCTTAGGAGGAACATTAAGGGTGGGGGTGGGAAGTGGGTAGTGGGGATAATGGGGAAGATCTGTCCTTAAAAGTTTTCCCCAGATTGGGGTCCTGGTCAATACTGGGTTCTTTTGATTCATTTAGTTCTAACAGGTGGCCTATTTGGGTGAAGAATTCAGTAGGGTTCCAGCTGTCCCCATTGGTCTGTGACATACTTGAGTAAAGTGTCAGTATATTTGGATTGGGTGGCCTGGAACAGTGTAGGATGGTGGCCCAGCTAATCTTGCCAGTTCTCTTGAATCAGTTGTCTTCTGAAGTCTTCAGATATGTCCCTAACACCCAGAGAAAGAGATCTTTCTCTTTTATTGCCAAACTTGGGAGGCCTTACTCTAGGGCCCTTACCCTTGCTTTATTCATTCCTTCGCTCAGAACCTACAGTTTGTAAACCACTGTGCTAAGTTTAGTAGAGACACAAAGACTGACACAGTCCTTGCCATGTATTTGGAGAGCTAATACATATACGTACCAATATCATAGCATTTCGAGGTTACCTCCATTCCCCATCCCCGAATGCTTCTCCACTTATCCATCCTTTAAAGCTCAATTCCTATCTCCTCCATACAATTCATTCCTCCATACAATTTTCTTTGAGCACCCTGGGTAGAAGTGATCTCTCTGTCTTTTAAATTTTTATGGCACTTAAATCTGCATGTGGCACACGTCAAATATTTGACCTTTATTGTAGTTACTTTTGTATACATGAGAGATTAGGAAGGGAGAGAGAAGCACATTTCAGACTGGAGAGAATAGCTCAAGAAGAGTTAAAATGAAAACTAGCATTATTAGAGGCAGTATGGAGCTCATCATTGCTTAAGATCAGACTGTGGGGGGAATATTTAGAAAATCGGATGGGTTGGCTGGGGCTAGACAATGAAAATCCTTGGATGCCATGCTAAGAAATTTGGACTTTCTTTCTTCTTTGGGAAATTAAGAGCCATTTGAGGTTGTTTAGAGGTAGAATTATTTGATTTAATAAGTAAGTTAGGAAGCTTAATCTGTAGAAGAATGTAGTGTAGATCAGGGAAGCCTGTTAGAATGCTGCTGCAATAATCAGAAAAAGAGCAGATGAAGGTTTATAAGCCCTAAGAATGTATCCCTGACAATGGAAAGGAATAAATACCAGAGACATTGAAAAGGAAGACTTGATAGGCATCAGTAAATGCTTTGATGTAGGGAATGAAGGAAAGAGAATGCTCTGTTTCAGATGTGGAAAACTCTTAGTCTGTAGTAGTTAGCTTGGTATCATGGAGATAAACACTTTAGTTTTACTCTACTACTACTTTGATGTGTGACTTTGGTCAAGATACATTGCCTTTGTTGCCCTCAGTTGGATTAGATGATTTCTGGTCTATTTAGCTGCTAAAGTGCACGTTTGACCATTTCACTTTCCTACTCAACAAACATTAGTGGCTCCCTCTTGCCTTTAGTGTCAAATGTAAAATCCTCTATTTGAAGAGCTTTTAGAACCTTTCACAGCCTGGCCCCTTTCTGCTTTTCCAGTCTTTTTACATTTTATTCCTCTCCATAAACTCTAAGATCCAGTGACACTGAACTTCTTGCTGTTCTTGAACATGGCACTCCCTCTCCCAGTTCTATGCTTGTGCATTAGAGGACCCCTATGCCCAGAATGCTGTCCCTCCTCACCTCCACCTCCTGGCTTCCCTGATTTCCTTCAAGACTCACCTCAGATCCTACTTATTCAGGAAGTCTTTTCTGGTCCACTTCCTCCATCCCCTCCACCAGTGCCTTCTGCTGAGATTACCTTCCATTTGCCCTGTACATACCTTGTATGTACAGACTTGTTTATATGTTGTCTCTTCCATTTGTTAACTCCTTGATGGCAGATGTTGTGTTTTTCGCCTCTTTTTTATATCCTCAGCACTTAGTAGAGTGGCTGGCACAAAGTGTGCTGTGATGACAGCTAACATTTATATAGTACCTTCTATATGCCAGGCACTGTGCTAAGCATTTTTTTAAAACCTTTCATTTGATTCTCACAACAACCCTGGGAGGTAGGTGCTATTATTATCCCCATTATGTCGAAACTGAGGCAAACAGGTTAAATGATTTCTCTACGATTATACAGCTAGTAAGTGTTTGGAGCTGGATTTGAACTCAGGTCTTCTTGACTTTGGGCCTTATGTTCTATCCACTATACCTTCTCACTGCCTCTGAATAAATACCAGTTGACTAGACTCAACTCTAAGCTCTCTTCCAGCTCTAACATCTATAATTCTTTAATAGTGCCATTTTCAAAAATAAGGTCATTGAACCAAATTGGCCAGAAGGATAAGTTTGGGATGTGTTGAGTTTATGGAGAATACAGATACATCTAAGAAGAAATGTCAAGTGAACAGTTCAAAATGTTGGACTGGAGCATAAGAGAGAGAGGTCAGGCTAGACATATAAATGAGAAAGCTGTCACCATTGAAATACATGCCAAAGAGAGTATACATTCTATGAAGAACAGTGAATATTTCTTTACTGAAAACCAGAGCTGAGTTAGGGGCTACTCCCAGCAACTGGGTGGATGAAAAATAAAGCTATCGGAGAAGCAAGAAGAGAACTAGCATATTGTAATATTACAGAAACCAAAGGAAGAGAAGTTAAAGGTTGAGGGAGCAGTCAGCATCAAGATCACTTCCAGCTCCAAATCTTTGGTCCAGTGATCATGAAGTCAAGGAGAATCTCAAAGGTGCAAAGTATTGTCAGTTCACTAGTAATTGATGAACTTTGAGGATGTGTTTCAGTGGAGTGATAGGGATGGAAGCCAGATCGCAGGGAGTTGTAGAGGGTGGTATAATAGCCACTCATTCAAGAAGTTTGGCAGCAAAGTGAAAAAAAAACTGGGCCAATAACTGGAGCAGGGAACAAGACTACATAAAAGGGGGGACCTGAGCTTGTTTGAACACAGGAGAAGTAGCTGGTGGGAAGAGAATGAAAATTCTGGAAAAATACAAACAATACTAGATGTCTCAGGATTTAAAAAAGAATGTGATCCAGGGCACTGACAAAGAAATTCTCCTTAAAGAGGGTTCAGCACTACTCCTTCCTCCGAGACTAGAGGAAAGGATGGTCATAGAAACAAAGATATGTTGAAGTATAGACAGTGAGTGCAGGAGCTCATGCCAGTTGCCATCAGTGTTCACAGTAATACAGCAGTCAAGATTTGAGAGTGGAGGTGAAGGGTTTGGTGGATTAAGGAACTTGAGGTTCAGAATAGTTGTTTTTTGCATTTTTATTTAGTTTTTTTATTCTGAACTTAACAAGCTTACAAAAAAAATTAACATTTTCACATTTAAAACAAAAACATAAAGAGTATCGTATACAAAACTGAATCTCTTTTCCAAGTAGTAACTTGCCTTTGAAAAAAATATGTAAGTTCAACACATTGCTTTCAAAACTGCATTCTTCTGAATTTCCTTGTATTCTATGGATACTTTTAAAAAGTTATGTTAAAGAAAAAGAAATATTTCAATGACACTCTTTTTTTTTCTTTCCTTTTCTGTGACATCACCATCAATATCCCTTTCCCCAAACCTACACCAATTGAAAACAGAAAGAAAAAAATTAAAAAAAAAAAACTTGTTACAAATATACATAGTTAAGCAAAATAAATCTGCACCATGACCGTGTCCAAAAATGTGTCTCTTTCTGCATCTTGAGTTCATCATGCATCTGTCTGGAAGTTGGTAACATGCATCATCATAGGCCCTTTGGAGAGGTCGTTGGCCATTGCTGTGATTAGTCTTGCAGCACAACAATATTCCGTTGTATTTATACACTACAATCTGTTCAGCCATTCTCCAATGGATGGGCAACCCCCTTAATTTATAGTCTTTTCTTTTAATCCCTCCTTCAGGATCAGGACATTGGTTTGTTTGCATCCCGCCAGTATTATCCTTCTTTAAGCCCCATTGCCCAGTCTCTGCCTGCTTTCCTGTTGAGCTAGATGTATTTCTCCACCAGCCACTTTGTGTATAAGTTGTTCAGTCTAGATAAGAGTGAGGTTCATCCTATGTCCACTCTTCCCCACCCCTTCCTCCATGTATCTGTACACTATTTCTTAAGCACTCCAATTTTGAAAAATATCAGTTTCCTCCTTTCCCCTCCCCCCCTCCTTTCTACACTAATATGTTTATTTCTTTCCCTTCCCTTCTTTTTGCCCTCTTAAAACTGTCAGAACAGAACCAGTCTACCCCCCAGGTCCTCTGTTTTTCTTAATTAAATTCCTCAATGCTCTTTGAAAGTGTTAAAGAGACACTGGTTTCTTCTCCCTCATTCAAATGTTAGACCTTCAGTCATCTTACAGTCCTTTCCAATTGAGCAAATATAGTCTAGGTTTCACTTGAGTCTTGTCAAAGATTGAACTTGAACCCACCTCTTTTTTATTCTTTGCACTGTGCCATTGTGTCTCCAAGATTAAATATTTAAAGTTAAATTAATGATGTGGTAGTTCCCAGAGTAACTTAGTGTTTGTCCATAGCCTCAGGCTGGGCCTTTATGTGCTTCTAGAACAAAGGCTGGTCCAGAAAAAGGTATTTTCCATCCACATGGACTCTAAGCTGCTTTGCATTAATCTGGGGAATTTTTATTCCAAAGAAGACAGAGGTTATGAAGGAGAGCATTGCAGCTATGAGGGATAAACTAGGCAAAGGCACAGATCTGGAAGATAGAATGTCATGGAGTGGGAATATGTAGCCACTTTGTTCTGGACTGGAGCATAGAGGGCACTACCCACACTCCTGCCAGGAAGCCAGACAGAGTAGGAGCTACAGTGACTTGCCAGCTGTTTTCAGTCCTCATTTAGGTCTGCCAAAGTCTTGATGGATGACTGTGATCCTTTCTGTGGGATGTTCTAGCCACAGTTGATCCCCTAAACTTCCTGTTCAGACCAAAGCTCTCAGGTGCTTTACAGTTAAGTATGCTAGAAGTGAAAAAGAACCAGAAAAAGCTGTTACTTTTCATGACTCTCCAAGTCTGTGGGATAAAATACCTGGATATCAATAGCCATCTGTTCCAAATGCCATGGCAAGGGAGAGGTGGTATAAACTTCAGAAGATTGTGGGTGACTCTGGGTAATTTTCTAAAACTGGACATGGAAATTTCCTTTATCTTTGTGTTTGTGTAATATTTCTGGAATGGATTTGTTGGTCATGGCCACACTGACTCTTTCTTTCTCACTCTGTGGAGTACCACCATGTGAGAATTATGTGCCTGTACAATCCCATACTGAAGAGCTCGATCCTTGCTTCCTCATTACTTAGGTCTAGCTCCTCTGCTAATTATCTAGACCAAGAATGTTGAGTTAAATTAATAAATGATAACACATTTTTTGCCTAAACATAATTCTAAGTAATTTTATTTTTCCTCACTAAAAGCAAACTAGGAAAAAAATAAGTTTTTTGGGGGGGAAAAGACCCCTTTAACACTTTTTTTTAAAGCACTGTTGTTTTTTGTCCTTCAGTATAAAAATATATTTCTACAGACTACTTCAGGGAATGATTTGGTTTGCAGATACCACTGACATATTCTATGGACCCATGTGAAACAGCTCTCCCTAGACCAAATGGAAAACTTAATTCCTCAAAGTGAGAGACTAGCCAGAATTAACATAGCAGCTTTTAGACCAAACAGTTAGTTTCTATAGGCACTTTGGAATACTAGTAGCATACATACCTTTTGGAAATACTAGCAGCATACATACCTTTGGAAATACTAGTAGCATACATACGTTTTGGAAGTACTAGTAGCATACATAGACAGATTCTGTATTGAGGGAAAAAATAGGGAAAAAAATTTTATAGAACAGAGTTTCAGAAATGTAGTCACTCTGACGTTTTGACCAGGATAGATAAATTTTGTGAACTCCATTGGTCCTTTGGCCTCAAAAGTCACATAATATAGGAAAATATCAAGGTTCAGCAACCTTTTGTGCTTAGGGGAAGATTACTGGCCAAAAAGAGTGAGTTGTCAATATCCAGGAAACAAAGGGAGAAGGGAAAAGAAGCCCTAGAAATAAGATTTTTAAAGAGAAACTGAAGAAATAGGAATACGCAACTGAGGTGGTATAGTACCCCAAGAGATTTGCTGTTGTTGAAATAAAATTCTGAGTATCTGGTTTTATGTTCCTTTTTCATTTGTGTTTTCTTGTGTGCCTATTCTTAGAGTATCTTAGAAGTGCAGACTTTTCATAGTCCTGTAACACTGGCAGATAAATGATAACTAAATTAAACGAGGCAGATGATCAGAACCAGCAGCCCAGGATTAAACCTTCCATGGGTACAAATGGTCAGAAGCAAGCCATAGGTATAGAAACCAGAAAGTCCAGGCAAAAAGTGAGTCTGTGGGGTGAGCTGATTGGAGCAAGCCTAGTTACCAGGAAGTCCAAGTAAAGATATAGGATAGTCATGATATCTCTGGTGATGATAAGTCAGACATCTGGGAACCCAGAAGGCAGTGCAGAGATGAACTAGTTCAGGGCATCATTTGTCAGGACAAAGGTCTAGCTCCAACGGTGCAGAGGAGAGAATCTGCCCCAACCTGTTGTGAAGTGAGCAAAGGGCCAGGATTCAGAGGTCAATTAGAGCAAAGCAGAGGTACTAAATATCAGAAATACAGGAATAAGCCTCATTCTGGGACAAAAATGACTTGCCCTCTGGCAGTTTTTGTACTTCCTACAACTAGAGGTGCTTACAAGAAGTCATTGAAACTACCTAAGAATGCAGAAGCAGTGTGACTGCAGACTTTCTGTGATTACCATAGAGATAGGACAATTAAGGCTACAGAAGTATGCTTAAGTGTTCTGCATGCCTCCCTTTTAAAAATTACCTCTTTTTTTGGTCATTTGTTTTCACATCACATCTACTTCTAAATATGTCTTTCACTCTTCCCTACCCACTAAGCTATCCCTTGTTACAAAGATTTAAAAAGAAAGAAGGGGGGAAAAAAAGCAGTTCAGAGGAGGGGAGGGGAGAATGTGCCAGGTACTATGCTAAGTGTTTTACAGATATTTATTTCATTTGATCCTCACAACAACCCTGAGAGGTAAGTGCTAGTATTTTCCCATTTTGCAGTCGAAACTAGTTAAGTGTCTGAGGCCAAATTTGAGTTTTCCTGACTCCAAGCCTAACATTTTATCTATTTAAATCAGTTGTGTCTGATAATATATTCATTAATCCAAATGCATAGTCCCCCACCTCAAAAAAGGAAGGAAGTAAATTTTCTCAACTCGTTTTAGGTACCAAACTTCATCATTATAATTGTACAGCACTGAATTTCTTTTTTGTTGTTATTTTTTCTGTTTATATCAATTTTGTCACTATGTACATTGTTTTTCTGGTTCTACCTACTTAAGTGCATCAGTTCATAAAAGTCTCCCTGTCTTTCGCTGAACTTGTCACGTCTATCATTTCTTAGAGTACAGAAACATCGACAGAACAGTAGACTCAAAGGCATCAGGGACTTCAGGGGCCGCTGGTCCAGTCCCTTTATTTTGGAGATGAGGAAATGGGCCCAGTGAAGATGAATTGATTGCCCAACTCATTTACCTTCATTGACCCTCTACCATGTGTTGAACCATCCTTTCCTCACTTGGGGGAATATCTACTTTATTCCCAGTTGTCTGCCACTGCCAAAGGGCTGCTGTGTAATCAGGGTGCAGAAGGGCCCTTTCTGTCTATCCGATGCCCTTCCCATCCATGACTGACAGGGAGATCTGGGTCAGAGTGCACCTCAGAGGAGAAGATCATAACCAGCCTGCTGTGGAAAATGAGGAGCATTCTGTTTTATTTCATTGACCACAAAATTATGAACATTCTTCTCCTGGAACCTTGGTTTTGTTGCTGAAAACTTGTCCAATCAGATAGCACTGGCTCCATTTTGTATCTGTCAGCATAAATTGGTTTTAAGTATTAGCAAACATGCAGTTTGGAAAATGAAGCTTGTGGCACGGAAGCAACTGGGAATACATGTCACCAGTGCTGATATTTTGAGCTTCCAGGCAATCTTGCATCCGAGAACTTAAGAGCTTTTAGGCTTTGTCAGGGTAGGAAGTCCACATAAATCCCTTGTCATAGTGAAGGTTCATAAGCCTTCATACTCTCATGGGCCTTTTCCTTCATGGTGACTTATCTTACCTTGGGCAGACAACCAATTGCTCTGGTATTACACCTCCATCCTAATCCTCTTCCCCTCTATGCCCTTGCCTTACCCAGTCTTAACTTCTCTCAACTCATCTTTTCTATTCCCTCCTTCCCCCAGCCCCACACAGTGAGACAAACACAGGAGCCAGTTTTCACAATGGCTGTCCCTTGCTCTCGCTGGATATTTGCCCCTTTGCTAAAGAGAGAAAGCAAACAAACCCTACATCCTTGACAGGAGGCAGGATTTGCTAAGCTGATTTGAGTCATATATAAAAAAGTGCTCTCTGTAATAGGATACCAGCAAAGTTCATCAGTTTGGGTAAGAGCAGAGGGGGAGGAAAGGCTCTCTGCTGTTCTTTTCCTCTTCCTAAGTCTCAAGGCTGGTTTTTGGTTGTTTTCAACGTCACAGCCATTGCTTTCCTCATCATTTTGACTGTCCCTTGAGATTAGTGAGGCTGGGCTTGGGTCTGTGCAGGACAGCAGGGTCCTTTTTGTAGCCTGTGGCTGGCAGATGACATCCACTCAGCTCTACCTATTTTTGGTCTTCCAGTCCACAAGCACCACAGCCCCAGGTCCCCGAGGCTGCCTGGGCAGATGAGGGAAGCGTCGTTTATCACCTGACAGATGAAGACTTTGACAAGTTTGTGAAGGAGCACTCTTCTGTCCTCATCATGTTCCATGCCCCATGTGAGTGGAATGCTTTTCTTCCCCCAACTCTTCACCCCCTCCCCTCAGGATCACCTCACCTTGACTCTAAACATGGTTTCTGAAATTTTCAGCCTTTCAAAATAGTCATGATACAGAAGTCTTTATTAATTGTGCATAGCACTATACCGAGTTCTTCTCTTCAAAGATAATTATGCAATTATACTCTCACAGTAGAAGCTCAAAAAGAATTAACTGAGTTAGGAATTATGAGTGAGTTCTCCCCTGTCCCTCTTCCTATTTACTCAATGTGTACTCTGGAAATGCAAAGCCATTTCAGTGCCAAACTGAAGGGAATATGATGCCAACAGAAACCATATAATACATTCTCATGTTTATTGGATAGCTTTGAATTAGCTTCAGAAACTTGTGAATTTGTGTGAGTACTCCTAGGCCCCATGCTGGTCCTCGGGACAGGAGAAGGGATTAACTGATTGGGTAGTGCTTCCTGAAACAGAGAGCTCTTAGAGGAAATCTCAAAGGAAAGGGCAGCATGGGGCCTCTGTGAGGATTGCTCCCTAGAACCAGAGTGGACTTTTTGGACCACAGGTACATAAAGTAGTCTGAATGCCATCTTCTCTTTCCACCCCCATCTCTCTCCCATGTCTCTGTAAATAACCTGAACTAGCAAGTGGTGGATGAGAGAGAACAGAAGAGATTTGAAAACATGAGAAATAACTCTTGGGAAGGAGAGAGGGATCCTGCCCTGGCAGATAGCAGTGGGGAAGGTGCCTCCAGCTGGAGATAACTTATGTAAGACTTGAAGGGGGAAGCCCCAGAGCAGGTAACATGTTTTCCTATCAGGAAAAAAGCCTCAGTCGCGGAATCATTGAACATGAGGAAGACCAGGTAATGAAATAGGATAACCTTAAAAACTCTGGATTAAACACTTGAATTTGATGCTGGAAATCTCTGGAAACTTCTTTTGTTATCTTTGCACAGGAGAGAGGAGACTGATGCCTTGAGAAAAAAAAATGTTCACTATTGTATGTGAGGTAGATGGTAGATCAGAAAGAATGGACTAGGACAGAGGGTCGGTGCCTTAAAGTAGGGTTGGGGGTGGGGGGAAACAAACAAACAAAATAGAAAAGCCTGGCATGATTGGCATTCTGTCAACCTCTTACATACTTCTTATTCAGGAACTCTCTCTGGCATCCTCCAGAGCCAGCTCGTTAGGACAGAGAGGTAGCATTACAGTCACCTCGCTGGCTAAAAAGTTCTCTCCAGGCCATTCTCATACATGCTGATGGAAGCAAGTTTAGGAGCAATTTACTTCCCCGTATCTGGAAGAAAATGGTCCCTCCCTGCTCCTTTCCCTCCTCCCCCTCCCCCACCCCTGTCACCTACACCAGCAGTAAAGACAGAGGACAGCAGGTCCTTGACTATTTCTAGCTTGGGAAACTCTATAAGGCTTGTCTGCTTCAATCTGTCTCCCCACAATCTTGTTCCATCTCCGAAGAAAGCCCAACGCTGAAGTAAAGGTCAGGAATCATAGAATTCTATTCTGCAGATAAAGCCCAGCAACGTTTCTGCCCACGCTTAAAACCAGCTGTGTTGTACATGTAACACACCTGGGGAAGGAGGGAGGGCTTGGTGATATATTTGTAGGATGTACATATGAGATTCCTTACATTAAAATTGTAAATTGTTGTAAAATTCTAAGTTCTAGGGCTCCAAATTGGTGAGAGTAAATTTTATACCTCTTTTCACAATATTATTGCATTCATATTAACACTTCTGGTTGAGAAATAAATATTTTTTGTCCTTGTTCCTTTGGCAGTCTTGGGCATTTGCATATCACTGCAGCAACTGATATTTGCCCTGTACTTGAGGACAGGCAGCTTGACTCCCTTCCTTTTCTTCCCAGTATAGTCATCTCATCTTAGATCATAGAGGTGAAGCCCTGCACTAATTAGGCAAAGAGGAATACAGATCATTTCTCTGACATGATGTATGAATCCATTGGTTGCCCTATAGGTCGTCATCCATAGGTATTTATTCAGCACTCTGATTCCAAATCAAGTGTTCTTTCCACTCTCCTGCACCCACAATATGGATTCATTTCTCTTTGCTTAGCAGAGTGGGAGGGAGCAAGGCTGACTAGCAGAGTTGTTTGACCCACCTGCTAAAGAGCCGTGGGATGGCCATGACCCTCCCTAATTAATCCTCTCCAAATATTCCTTTGTGTCTTCTCCATCAAGGAAAATAATTATTTAACTGGAAAGGGTAGAGCTAACATGCTTAAGGAATAGGAAACCCTCATAGATAAATAAAGAGTAAAATAACACTTAGTTCCTTTAAATGATTTTGATTCTTCAGCCCAGGGAATCCCATCCCAGGGTGCAAAGAGTGCAAGGAAGAACTACTGCCAGTAATCTTTGGAAAATCATGGCAAACAGGAGAGGTGCCAGTAGACTAGAGATGACAGAGCACAGGCTCCAAAACTGCAGCCCAGGAACTTGCTGTCCATCCCCAGCACATTTCCAGAACAGGTTGTCAAGCAGCATGTGAGCAGTTGGGGAAGATGGGAATCTGAGATCAAGTCAGGATCTCAAAAGAACCTCATTACCGACTTTTGACTGGGAGATCAGGCAGTGTTACAGATGTAATGTGTCTGGATTTCCCCAAGGCATTTGATAGAAGGTCATGTGACATATGAATAAATAAGGTCACACACATAACACAGAGATATAGCCTCATAAAAATGATAGAAGAAGATGGGCTAACAGATGCTGTGGCTCCCTGAATTCATAGCTGTTGAACAGCTGTCCTCACTTGATCTGTGTGAACCTAAAAGTTGGCCTCTCCAGGGCTATGTCCCAGTACTCTGTCCTGTCCAGCATGTTTATTGATGACATGGAAAAAGATAGAAGAGGCTTATCAAATTTGCAAATGACACAAAGCTGGGAGCAATACCTTATTTGATAGAATTAGTGTCCGTAGCAGTATTGACAGGCATTACAGATAGGGCAAAACTAACAGGATTAAATTGAAAAGAGATGTAAGTGAAGTCCTGCATTTAGGTTAAAAACATCAATTGATTCAATTAAGGTAGGGGAGTCCTGTCATAACTGTGGTTCATGTGAAAAGATTTGCAGCTATTAACTGAGTGCAAGCTAGGTGTGACATCACAGTGACATGAGTGCCAAAAATAGTTAACACAATCCCTTAGGCTATATTAATGGAAATGGGCTGATCAAACAGAGGGAGGAAATAGAACCATGGTACCCAGCAATTTTTATTCCACATCTAGGTTATTATATTCAGATCTGAGAGCCACATTTTAAGACAAACTGAAGAGTGACTAGGTTGGTAAAGAATCTGTTAACCCGTAGTCAGTCAGGGATCAGTCAACAAACTTTTTTTTTTTTTTAAGGCAATTGGGATTAAGTGACTTGCCCAGGGTCACACAGCTAGTACGTGTCAAGTGTTTGGTCTGAGGCTGGATTTGAACTCAGGTCCTCCTGACTTCAGGGCCAGTGCTCTATCCGCTGCACCACCTAGCTGCCCTCAACAAACATTTATTAAATGCTTACTGTGTATCAGCCACTGTGCTTAGTGCTAAGGATATAAAGAAAGATTAAAGCATGGTCCCTGCTCTTAAGGAGTTCACATTTTAATGGAGGAGACAACATGAAAATAATTCTGTATTCATAAGATATATGCAGTGCAAATGGATGGCAGTCTCACTAGGAAAGCACTTCTGCAGAAAGTGGGATTTGAGCTGAGACTTGAAGGTCGAAGTGAAGCAGGGGAGCACTTGATGGATGGGGTCAGCCAGGACAGAGGCACACAGGTGGGAGGTGGGGTCCCAGCAAGAAGGTTAGTGTGGGTGCATCCCAAAATAGAAAGATAGGATGGGGCCCAGCTGTGAAGGACTCTAAAATCCAAGCAGAGTATTTTATATTTGATGACAGAAGCAATAAGGAAACACTGGAGCTGATTGGGGTGGGGGGTAATGTGGCAAAACCTATCTTTAGGAAGATCACTTGGGCAGCTGAGTGGAGGACAGATTGGAGTCAGGAGGGCCTCAGGGCTGGGAGACCAACAAGAAGACTCTAGTCACAGTCCAGGCTTGTAGGAGAGAGGTGTGGAGCTTGAAAGGACAGGACTTGGCCACAGATTGGATGTGTGGGATGAGTGATGCTGTTGAGGCTGTGAGTCAGGGTGACTGGGAGGATGATGGTGTCCTCAACAGTCCTATGGAACATTAGAAGAGGGTAAGGTTTGGGAGCAAAGATAACGAGCCCTATTTTGGACGTGTTAAGTTTGAAAGACGTTAGGCCAAGATATGTAGGTTTGGAAATCATCTTCATAGACATGATAATTGAACCCATGGGAACTAATGAGATCACTGAGCAAGATAGTATAGAGGGGAAAAAGAGGAGGGTTTGGGGCACAGCCTCAGGCAACACCCACAGTTAGTCAGCCTCTTCTGGATAAAGATGCAGAAAAGGAGACTGAAGAGACAGGTCCGAGAACTAAGAGTAATGTCCTGAAAGCCCAGAGAAAAGTAAGTAACTGGGAAAAGAGAGTGATCCACAGTATCAAAGGCTGCAGAGAGTTCAAGAAGGGTGAGGATGGAGAAGAGTCTTGGCAGTTGCCAAGAGATCATTGGTAACTTTGGAGAGCACAGTTTTAGTCAAATGATGAGGTCAGAAGCCAGACTGCAGAGAGTTTAGAATTGAGCAAGAAGAGAGAAAGTAGAGGCACCAATTGTAGACAGCTTTCTCATGGAGTTTATCTAAGAAGAGGAGTAAACATATGGGATAATAGTGGGGATGGTAAGATCAGGAGGGGTTATTTTTTGAGGATGGGGGTGACATGGGCATGTTTGTAGCCAGCAGAGAAGCCAGTAGACAGGGAGAGATTGTATTGAAGATCAATGATAGAGTGGGGATGGTTGAGGGGACGATCTGCTGAAGATGATGAGACAGAATGAGCTCAAGGTTACATGCAGAAAGGTTTACCTTGGCAAGGAG